TCAATAGCTTCATGTCTCGCACTTCTCACCTGTGGAATTCTCTCCCATTTTCCTGTTTCCCTGATAGTTATAATCTCCAACTATTCAAATGTAATGTCAATCGACGTCTCCAGATGCCTTGATCTATCCCCTATCCTTCTCTTCATCCTTTCCTCTATCACTCCTATTTGCTCTCACTCCAACTCTCTGTAACCCCTTGCGTGCTAGTGGCTTCCCGCCTTACTTGGGGTGAAACGCTTAAAAAAAAAAAAAATAGACGTTCCATACAAGGATCCTCATTGAGAGTACAATATCAGTTTCCTTGTCGTTCCCGTTTTCATTAAGTTTCTGGAGTCGGTTGCATCAAGGTCTGCTATTTCGGAGCACCCGATAAAAATATTCAGTGTACCGTGGCGTATTGGGAGAACATGTTCTGTTTTGTACAGATTGCGTCCGGAATTTCATCTCAAACTGCTTGAGACAATTTTCATTAAATCTAGACAGCCTACCCTGTGAAACAGAAGGGGTGGTCGCTAGAAATTAATGCCTACAAATAGTGGGTGTAAAAATATTGCTAATGCAGTATTTTCCTCCTTTTTTTTTTTTAGTCAGTACATACTTTTATTTTATTATACCCGATCGAGTTTTGGTAAGTGAGGAGCAAAACCTGTTAACTCGGAATATTTCTTTTTTTTTTGTATCAAATGTCAGTGTTCCTACTTTATTTTAAATAAAGTAGAATCCCTCATATCCGGAGTGACTCATATCCGGAATCACGCATATCCGGACATAATTTTGATGTGTATATTTGAAATATTTGGGTGATATGTAACTGATTTGAAATTTCTGTTTTTCAGGAAATTTACTTTGGATAATTGCTTGTGCTTTTTCACCCTAATGGCTTGGATTGGTGCAAAAGATGATGGAAATAAGAGGAAAGGAACAACTTTGGAGTTATCGCAAAAAGTAGAAATTTTAAACAGACTAGACGCTGGTGAAAGTTCATTGTAACTAATGGCTGAGTTCAAAGTCAGCATTGTATGGAATAAAATCTTCCAATGAAAATATTCTCCAGCGTTCACATTGCCACAATGAACAAGGAAATAAAAACAGGATTGTGATAAAACCTGAACTGAAATCGAAAAAGCTATTGAAAAAGTTGTCAGTTTTATGGAAAGAAAGCCAGCATTCAGCGATGACGATTGCAATAAAGCACGCAGAATTAAAAAGTGTCTTTCGTTTAAAAAATTTCAAGAATAAAAGCAAAACGAAATACGGAAAAATACGGAAAAAGTTGACAATGACATTAAAAGAGAAAGAATCATCATGCAAGAGAGATTAAAAAATCCTCGTTACATTATTTGTTTTGCATACGTGGCATACTTAATTTAATGAATTTTCATTAACATTACATAATTTATTTCTTTTTCCTTAAAATCAATTCCGTTGTATTTCACTCACCATTTTGTTTTTAAGCGTTTCACCCCAAGCAAGGCGGGAAGCCACTAGGACGCAAGGGGTTACAGAAAATTTGGAGCAAGATCAGATAGGAGTGATAGAAGAAAGGATGAGGAGAAGGGTAGTGGATAGATCAAGGCAACTGGAGATGTCGATTGACATTACATTTGAATAGCTCTCAGGGAAACTGGAATAGGGAAGGGAGTTCCACAGGCGAGAGGTGCAAGACATGAAGCTATTTGAGTAGAAGAGACAGCTACATTTAGGAGTTTCGACAGTGAAGGGGTGAGAGCAGGATGCCAGCCTCGTAGGGTGCTTGAAGTCATGAAGTCTGGGAACCAGCGAATGCAGCTCCTCGGAGCAATTGCCATGAAATATTTGTAAAACAGACAGAGAGAGGCGACGGCGCATCTGTGAGAAAGTGACTGTAGACGAGATGCCAGAGCAGGGTCAATTATATTGCATATCCGCCTCTGGAGCCTATCAAGAACCCCGAGGCAAACAGAAGGGGCTCCAGACCATATATGGCAGCAATACTCCATGCAAGGGCGAATTGTTGATTTGTAGATCTGGAGGATCGATTCCGGGGAGAAAAATTTCCTGGCGCGGCACAGGGAGCCAACTTTCCTTGCGGTGGACGAAGCAATTGACTCAATGTATTTGTTCCATCTCAGGTCAGCAGTCAATGTGAGACTGAGCAGCTGCAAAGAGGTGCTCTCGAGAAGTCAAGCGTCAGACCTTCTAATGGGGGGGGGGGAAGAAACTCTGTGGTGATTAATAGAGAGCAGTTTTGTTTTTGAGGCGTTAAAGTTAACCAGCCAATTCCTGCCACAGTTCACAACGGATTGGAGGTCCTTTTCGAGACGCACGGCCAGGTTAGTTTTGTCAGTGACACTAGATTTGTTTTTGAGGCAGGAATAAATTGTGGTGTCATTAGCTTATTTTGATAACTATAAAACATTGAAAATAAAGAGGACTGGAGTAGAGAGATTTTGCTGTGTTACTATTCCGAATGGCGAGTTGTGTGCTAACCAAGAAAATCAACTTGAAATCCTGTCCCAAACCCTGAGTTACTGGCACGGTTTGAAATAAAGACACTCAAACTCAAGAGAAAACATCTTAAAAAAAATAAGATGAAAAAAAAAACTGCAATATTAGAAGGAATGTATAGAGAAATAGAAGAGCCTTGAAAAAAAAAACGAATTGCTGCTTCCGGTTTTGGATTTAATCTCAGTCACTGAAAGAAAAGCAAAACTATTTCTTTTACTTATAAAGATGAATTGCCCATCTGTTGTTGGGATATTTTAATCATAGTGTGAAAAAAAAAATTAGGTGATAACATTTACAGGTTGGTGGCTGGTTTTCTTGTACGGGATAGCAACCGCCTATATAAGGTAGTAAAGGAAAGCGAGAAGAAAAGACTAACTATCAATTGCAAGAAAGAATGTATGGTTGTCAGCAAGTGGAAAAGCCCAAGATGCGAATTACGAATTGGAGAAGCCAAAAATCAAGCAAGAATAGAACTTTAAACATCCGGGAAGTATTTTAAGAGAGGACAGAAAATGCGACACCGAAATCCGAAGGCGAGTTGGAATAGTGAAAGATGCCCTCCAAAAGCTAAGCAAAGTATTAAGAAACAGAAAAAAATCGTTAGAAACAAAGAGAAGGGTGATGAACTGCTATGTAATATTAATCCTTCTGTGAATTTTAGACGATTTCCTCACAGTTGAAGAGGAAGTTTCCTCTTCAACTGTGAGGCAACCGAAATATAATTCTACAGAAGGATGCTGAGAATTACATGGACGTAGCGGGTAAGCAGCGAAGATGTCTAAAGGAAAATAAAACGAAAACAACACTTATACTCAGAATCAGAAAGATACAAGTTAAATTTCTTGGATAGATAACGAGAAAGAATGAAAGCTTGGAGAATTAGACACTCACAGGATATATCAAAAGTAAAATGAACAGGGGAAGGCAACGCGTCAAGTACCTAGTCAGATTTTGTGAATGGAGTGGAAAGGATGACAAAAAAGCAAATGTTACTAAGAGCTACAAGGGATAGGGTGTTGTGGAGAGCCATAAACACCACTACCAGAAGAAAAACGACAGAGGAAAGAAAGAGTAATAGTTATCAAACTAATAGCAAAGATCATTTCGGCTATAATGAACCTCACTGAGCTCGGAAAATTGTAGCATTTTTCTAGCCCAAGTTAAGTTTGCTCATTTTTATAGTATTGATTCATGGCTGTGCTGGCCCGTTTTATGAAAAGTAGGAAATTGCCATTTACTGGAAATAAATAATTATAAAAGTGATGATGGAGGTTTTTCATGGGTACTGCAATTTTAGTTTCGAACGGATACTCTGTCAAAGAAACTAAGCTAAAAAATACACATCAACACATAATGTAATAAAATGACGTCACAAAACAAGTTACGTTGTACCCTGTTATATATCTACGCTGGTTTGAAAAGAGCACTGATCGCTGGTCTATGACAAAAATGCTACGGACCAAAAACATACATACATATTTTATGCTTATACATTCTTTTTTTTTTATAGATACAAATATTTAAGTAAATTCTCTGTTTTATAATAAACAGTATTTATAACATTTACCGGCTTGATTGTCCGAGAAATCATCATAGAAATCGAACCTGTATCCTATACGGAACCGTCATTTAGCCTGGCACGCTCTTAACCGCTCGAGCCACAGAGGATCGTTCGATTAGCAAGATCGAATTTACTGCCTTTAAACTTGCTAATTTCAACAATTAGGGAAAAAAAAGGAATTTCAACAGCAGCACTGAATAAAATGGATAGCACATATAAGTCGGAGTGAAAATAATGACACCATCAAGATGATGATGTTCCACACTATTTCAAAGTGAAGGTTGAAAGTATTGGAAATAGCGATGACAGCTAGTGAACGTGAGAAAACTCATTTCCAGAAAAAGATGTTTTAAGAGAAAGATTTTATGAATCTCAACTGGAAGCAACAATGGCTGCTTGTCAAGGATTGCCGAATGTTTCCTCGTAAGGAAATGGTTACTATTACTATTAACATTTCTGAGTTCACATCTAGCGGTTTCTAAACGCTAGTATCATTTACTGAATAAAATCAATTTAGAAAAGTGATTTTAACACCCTGTCGTCTGTCGATACTCATTGTCTCAAACAAAAGATTCATTGTCTCAAACAAAAGACTCATTGATTCAAACAAAAGATTCATTGATTCAAACAAAAGACTCATTGATTCAAACAAATGATTCATTGATTTAAACAAAAGACTCATTGTCTCAAACAAAGGACTCATTGATTCAAACAAAAGATTCATTGATTCAAACAAAAGACTCATTGTCTCAAACAAAGGACTCATTGATTCAAACAAAAGATTCATTGATTCAAACAAAAGACTCATTGTCTCAAACAAAACACTCATTGATTCAATCAAAAGATTCATTGATTCAAACCAGCTTTCTTCAAAAACCTCCTTTATTCGGATATGCTCTATAGTTGTCAAAACTCTTTGAGGACAAAACACGCCTCATCTTATTACATAGGCTTACGGTCACACCACGTTGAAACACCAGTTCCTGTACGATAACCGAAGTTAAGCAACGTCGAGCCTGGTCAGTACCTTGGTGGATGACCGTTTGGATATACCAGGTGCTGTAAGCTTAGATGTGCGGGTGGTGTAATGGATAATGGCTCGGTATTGTTAATCGGGGAGTCGAGTTCCAATTCCGGTTAGGTTCATTATATTCACTTATTCTCAAATACCCTCAGGAAAAGTATGAATTCACCTATTCTCTCCCCAGCTATGGGTTAATTAGTAAAACTTGTATCATCAAACCATTATCTCCTCCACAAAACTTATACAATCTAAAACTATTTTCTGGCTTTAAATAACATAAAAAGGGTTAATAAGCTGTAGAAAACTAATTAATCAATCATATTATTACAGAATACAGGTTCCAATTATAGATCTCATTTATTTTATACTCAAATTAATGCGGATGGTTTGCCTTGTGATAAAGGAAAGGATTTCAAAGCCGGAAAAATTTAGATTAAATAGATGATTCCAGGATATTCACATATTAGCCAGAGGATTCCAGGATATTCACATATTAGCCAGATGATTCCAGGATATTCACATATTAGCCAGATGGTTCCAGGATATTAGCACATTAGCCAGATGATTCCAGGATATTCACATATTAGCCAGATGATTCCAGGATATTAGCATATTAGCCAGATGATTCCAGGATATTCACATATTAGCCAGATGGTTCCAGGATATTCACATATTAGCCAGATGGTTCCAGGATATTCACATATTAGACAGATGATTCCAGGATATTCACATATTAGCCAGATGGTTCCAGGATATTAGCACATTAGCCAGATGATTCCAGGATATTCACATATTAGCCAGATGATTCCAGGATATTCACATATTAGCCAGATGATTCCAGGATATTCACATATTAGCCAGATGGTTCCAGGATATTAGCACATTAGCCAGATGATTCCAGGATATTCACATATTAGCCAGATGGTTCCAGGATATTCACATATTAGCCAGATGATTCCAGGATATTCACATATTAGCCAGATGATTCCAGGATATTCACATATTAGCCAGATGGTTCCAGGATATTAGCACATTAGCCAGATGATTCCAGGATATTCACATATTAGCCAGATGGTTCCAGGATATTCACATATTAGCCAGATGATTCCAGGATATTCACATATTAGCCAGATGGTTCCAGGATATTCACATATTAGCCAGATGGTTCCAGGATATTCACATATTAGCCAGATGATTCCAGGATATTCACATATTAGCCAGATGGTTCCAGGATATTAGCACATTAGCCAGATGATTCCAGGATATTCACATATTAGCCAGATGATTCCAGGATATTCACATATTAGCCAGATGGTTCCAGGATATTAGCACATTAGCCAGAGGATTCCAGGATATTCACATATTAGCCAGATGATTCCAGGATATTCACATATTAGCCAGATGGTTCCAGGATATTCACATATTAGTCAGATGTTTCCAGGATATTCACATATTAGCCAGATGGTTCGAGGATATTAGCATATTAGCCAGATAATTCCAGGATATTCACATATTAGCCAGATGATTCCAGGATATTCACATATTAGCTAGATGGTTCCAGGATATTAGCACATTAGCCAGATGATTCCAGGATATTCACATATTAGCCAGATGATTCCAGGATATTCACATATTAGCCAGATGGTTCCAGGATATTCACATATTAGCCAGATGGTTCCAGGATATTAGCATATTAGCCAGATAATTCCAGGATATTCACATATTAGTCAGATGTTTCCAGGATATTCACATATTAGCCAGATGGTTCCAGGATATTAGCATATTAGCCAGATAATTCCAGGATATTCACATATTAGCCAGATGATTCCAGGATATTCACATATTAGCCAGATGGTTCCAGGATATTAGCACATTAGCCAGAGGATTCCAGGATATTCACATATTAGCCAGATGATTCCAGGATATTCACATATTAGCCAGATGGTTCCAGGATATTCACATATTAGTCAGATGTTTCCAGGATATTCACATATTAGCCAGATGGTTCCAGGATATTAGCACATTAGCCAGATGATTCCAGGATATTCACATATTAGCCAGAGGAATTCAGGATATTCACATATTAGCCAGATGATTCCAGGATATTCACATATTAGCCAGATGGTTCCAGGATATTCACATATTAGCCAGATGATTCCAGGATATTCACATATTAGCCAGATGATTCCAGGATATTCACATATTAGTCAGATGTTTCCAGGATATTCACATATTAGCCAGATGGTTCCAGGATATTAGCATATTAGCCAGATAATTCCAGGATATTCACATATTAGTCAGATGTTTCCAGGATATTCACATATTAGCCAGATGGTTCCAGGATATTAGCATATTAGCCAGATAATTCCCAGGATATTCACATATTAGCCAGATGATTCCAGGATATTCACATATTAGCCAGATGGTTCCAGGATATTAGCACATTAGCCAGAGGATTCCAGGATATTCACATATTAGCCAGATGATTCCAGGATATTCACATATTAGCCAGATGATTCCAGGATATTCACATATTAGCCAGATGGTTCCAGGATATTAGCACATTAGCCAGAGGATTCCAGGATATTCACATATTAGCCAGATGATTCCAGGATATTCACATATTAGCCAGATGGTTCCAGGATATTCACATATTAGTCAGATGTTTCCAGGATATTCACATATTAGCCAGATGGTTCCAGGATATTAGCATATTAGCCAGATAATTCCAGGATATTCACATATTAGCCAGATGATTCCAGGATATTCACATATTAGCCAGATGGTTCCAGGATATTAGCACATTAGCCAGATGATTCCAGGATATTCACATATTAGCCAGATGATTCCAGGATATTCACATATTAGCCAGATGGTTCCAGGATATTCACATATTAGCCAGATGGTTCCAGGATATTAGCATATTAGCCAGATAATTCCAGGATATTCACATATTAGTCAGATGTTTCCAGGATATTCACATATTAGCCAGATGGTTCCAGGATATTAGCATATTAGCCAGATATAATTCCAGGATATTCACATATTAGCCAGATGATTCCAGGATATTCACATATTAGCCAGATGGTTCCAGGATATTAGCACATTAGCCAGAGGATTCCAGGATATTCACATATTAGCCAGATGATTCCAGGATATTCACATATTATTAGCCAGATGGTTCCAGGATATTCACATATTAGTCAGATGTTTCCAGGATATTCACATATTAGCCAGATGGTTCCAGGATATTAGCACATTAGCCAGATGATTCCAGGATATTCACATATTAGCCAGAGGATTCCAGGATATTCACATATTAGCCAGAGGATTCCAGGATATTCACATATTAGCCAGGTGATTCCAGGATATTCACATATTAGCCAGATGGTTCCAGGATATTCACATATTAGCCAGATGATTCCAGGATATTCACATATTAGCCAGATGATTCCAGGATATTCACATATTAGTCAGATGTTTCCAGGATATTCACATATTAGCCAGATGGTTCCAGGATATTAGCATATTAGCCAGATGTTGCAAGGATATTAGCATATCAGCCAGATGATTCCAGGATATTCACATATTAGCCAGATGGTTCCAGGATATTCACATATTAGCCAGATGATTCCAGGATATTCACATATTAGTAGATGTTTCCAGGATATTCACATATTAGCCAGATGGTTCCAGGATATTAGCACATTAGCCAGATGATTCCAGGATATTCTCATATTAGCCAGATAATTCCAGGATATTCACATATTAGCCAGATGATTCCAGGATATTCACATATTAGCCAGATGGTTCCAGGATATTAGCACATTAGCCAGAGGATTCCAGGATATTCACATATTAGCCAGATGATTCCAGGATATTCACATATTGGCCAGATGGTTCCAGGATATTCACATATTAGTCAGATGTTTCCAGGATATTCACATATTAGCCAGATGGTTCCAGGATATTAGCACATTAGCCAGATGATTCCAGGATATTCACATATTAGCCAGAGGATTCCAGGATATTCACATATTAGCCAGAGGATTCCAGGATATTCACATATTAGCCAGATGATTCCAGGATATTCACATATTAGCCAGATGGTTCCAGGATATTCACATATTAGCCAGATGATTCCAGGATATTCACATATTAGCCAGATGGTTCCAGGATATTCACATATTAGCCAGATGATTCCAGGATATTCACATATTAGCCAGATGATTCCAGGATATTCACATATTAGTCAGATGTTTCCAGGATATTCACATATTAGCCAGATGGTTCCAGGATATTAGCATATTAGCCAGATGTTGCAAGGATATTAGCATATCAGCCAGATGATTCCAGGATATTCACATATTAGCCAGATGGTTCCAGGATATTCACATATTAGCCAGATGATTCCAGGATATTCACATATTAGTCAGATGTTTCCAGGATATTCACATATTAGCCAGATGGTTCCAGGATATTAGCACATTAGCCAGATGATTCCAGGATATTCACATATTAGCCAGAGGATTCCAGGATATTCACATATTAGCCAGAGGATTCCAGGATATTCACATATTAGCCAGATGATTCCAGGATATTCACATATTAGCCAGATGGTTCCAGGATATTCACATATTAGTCAGATGTTTCCAGGATATTCACATATTAGCCAGATGGTTCCAGGATATTAGCATATTAGCCAGATAATTCCAGGATATTCACATATTAGCCAGATGATTCCAGGATATTCACATATTAGCCAGATGGTTCCAGGATATTAGCACATTAGCCAGATGATTCCAGGATATTCACATATTAGCCAGAGGATTCCAGGATATTCACATATTAGCCAGAGGATTCCAGGATATTCACATATTAGCCAGATGATTCCAGGATATTCACATATTAGCCAGATGGTTCCAGGATATTAGCACATTAGCCAGATGATTCCAGGATATTCACATATTAGCCAGATGGTTCCAGGATATTCACATATTAGCCAGATGGTTCCAGGATATTAGCACATTAGCCAGATGATT